TGTATACTGGATTTTCATCTGGGCTTGGGACTCAGGGCTCCGTGCAGGCCTGTCCCAGACTGGAATAATGACTGATGACACCATAGACTCAGAAGGAGCAGCTGGGTGTTTCTTAGGCCTGCACTTACGGTCCTTCCATCTCTTTCCAACCATCGGGGTCACTCTGTTCCAAGGCTGTCACAAGAAACGACTGCAGCTCCTATGTTCTGAAACTGTCTTTGCCCTGAGCACTTGGGCTCTGCCCTGGCAGTCCCAGGGGAATGCTTTCCTGGGATCTCTCTGGGCTGAGGGATAGATCTCCCCATCAGTGGCAGGGAGAGTTAAAACCTCTCAGGGAGAACCCATTCCCTCCTCTCCTGATACAGGGACTCCTGTATTCTCTGGGAGCAGTTGAGGGCTGGAGGCAGAAATGGTAGGGTGATTAGCAGCACAACGTTCCCCTGGGGCTCCATGCATTCCCTGGCATTGGGGAAGAGTCATTATTCCTTCCTCAAAGACTTCTCAGGCACTTGCTATGTGGCAGGCACTGTTCTAAACACTGGGGATAGAGCCGCGAGCTAGAGACGACTTCTCTGCCTTGAGGAGCTAATATTCTAGTGAAAGGAGACAGACAATAAACAATGGGTATGTGTAAATTATACAGTATGTTAGAATCTGGCAAGCGCTATGGAAAAATATAGTATTTTAAGGGGGTCTGGGCATGCTGGGGTGGGAGTGGAGGTCCTTTGAAATTTTAAATGGGGTATCAGTGAGGGTCTTATCAAGAAGGTGACATCTGAGCAAAGACTTGAAAGAGGAGACAGAGAGGTCCATGCCTATATCTGGAGAAAGAACATTCTGGGCAGAGAGAGTGGCCACTGTTGCCGAAACAGACGGAACAAGGAAGAGCAGAAGGAGATGAGGGCAGAGGCGTTGGAGGGGCCACAGGCTTCACTGGTGAGAAGGAAGTCAGGGAGCCAAGGACCGGTATGGTCTGACAGTTTTTAACACCATCCCCCTGCTGCTGTGTTGAGAAGAGACCAGAAGGTCAGGGATAAAAGCAGGGAGATGGGTAGGTGCCTACCCAGGGAGAGGTAACAGTGGCCTGGACCTTGCGAGGGATACTGAAGGGGAGAGTGATCAGATTCTGGAATCCTTGTGCACGGAGCACTGACCGAATGGCCTGATGGAAGGCTTGCAGTGTGTGAGAATGAGGGGTCAAGGGGGATTGGAGCTTTTTGGCCCATGCATCTGAAAGACTGAAGTTGTATCAGTTGAGATGGGGAGGACGTGGGAGGAGCAGGTCTGGGTCTGTCAGTTGTGGACCTGTTAAGTATCAGGGGTTTTCCTGTCCTGACTTTCCAACACGGTGCTAAGGCCAGCACAAGGAGACCAAAAGGGGATGTTCAGTTCTTTACTTTCTCTGGAGGCCACACAGCCTTGCCCATGTCTTGGTGCCTCTCCATGGTGCTTCCTGAGTCACAAAGCCTGGGATGCCCATTTTGGCCAGGTTGGCTCTGGGAATTTGCCATCATGGGCTATTTCAGTTGAGCTACTTATTCAGTATTGAAATTCCTTCTGTGCCATACCTAACAGCAGCTCTGGGGGTGGGGGACCAAGACATGTAAGAGACCCCAGTCTGTCTTCTGGCAGGTTGGAAGATATAGACCATCTTTAAGTTGTGGAAGAAATAGCACTTACTGGCAAATGAGTGTTTATTGAGGGCTTACTATGTGCAGTGCACTGTGGTAGACAAGACAGAGGAAGGAAAATAGATCTGGAACTGGGAGGAGCCCTGCCCCCAGAGGGCTTACAGTCTTGCCTGGGAGGCACTGCAGATATACAGAATCGCAGCTGAAAGATACAAAGCCACATGAAAGCCACATTTGCAGGAACAGAGTCATCCAGAACAAAGTGGGGATGTGAGAATGGATGCTGCTGGGACCCAGGAGTCAGCCACCTTTTCCCTTCAGCCCAAAGCTTTTTCTGTCCCCAGCTTGAGGACCTGGAAGCCCAGCCACCTGCCTCCATGCTGCCTTGCCTCTGTCTGGTTTGGGGTGTGTCTGACCTCCATCCTCCTCCAGACTGGGAGCTTTTCAAGGACAGAAACCAGTCTGGTATTCTTTGTCCTTTTCTCCCTACTCTGCTGCGATCCTCCCCAAGGGCCTGTGTCGCCCACTAGACAGAGTCCTGGGCTGGACAGTCTCAGTTGTGTGCTCTGGTTTCTGCCAGGGGCCCCCAAGGGGCAACTAGGACTTGCCCCAGATCATACCTGGTTTCTTGTGAGCTCTGAATGGACAGATCATGGGATTTTGCAATCAAATGCTCTACCCCTGAGCTATACTCCCAGATCATGGGATTTTTGAATAAGAAGGCCTGAGTTCAAGTCTTGAGTTCACTACATACAGCTGTGTGACATTAGATCAGTTTCTGAAATGCAGTTCCTTAATCTGTAAAATGTGAAGACGGTATTTGCTCTGCCGTTCTCACAGGGTCGGGAGAAAATCACAGGGCTGGGTGGCTGGGGGTGATAGGGAGTGCATTGGAAATGCTAAAACCCTGAAGAGCTGGAAGCTGCTGTCCTTCCCTAACCTGCCTGAGGTTTTAGCATAGAGGCTGGGACACAAGAGATGCTCGCTAGGTGTCAGATCCCCTCCATCCTCAGCATTTTGAATCCACCTTTGACCTCTAACCTTAGTAACCCCAATCTGGGCGATCAGGGCAGAAGGTGTGGTGATGTCACATTTGGTTTCAGGTGAGGTGCAATCCAGGAAGTGGAATAGACACAAAGAGAAATTCTTGGCAACTTCTAGGGGGATCTGTGGGGATGAGGTTGGTGGGGGGGAATGAGGTGCCTGAGACACATCCAGGCTTGGCTCACAGCTCAATTTGCTGCCTTTGAACTTTGAGAGTATTTCAAAGCGCAGCTCCAGAGGTCACTTTGGTCTCTGATACAAGCTCTCCTCCGTTAGTGAGTCCAGCTGGCAGTCACCAGCTGTTTTGGGACAATCGCCTCCATATCACCTATGGGCCAAGGCAGGCTTTTCCGGACCCTAGAGGGAACTTTGGTCAAGGAAGACAAAAAAAAAAGTGTAGATGAGGAGGTGGGCACAATCACAGGGCGGTTCCTCATACACGGTCCATCTTTGAACGCAGTGGAGGGCAGGAAGGGGCTGGAGACTTCCATACACACCGGGTGCTTGGTGCAGTGTGAGACAGACATGGACAGAAGCCTGGAGAGCATGGAGAAGCATGGAGAGCACATGGAGGCCGCAGTGCATGGAGAAGGGGGCTCAAGATGTGATTTTTAGGTTAGCTCTGCAGCAGACCGGAGAGGGAGGGAGAGGATGGATGGTCTTTGGGTGGTGGGAGGAGGAAAGTAGGAGAACAGCTAGAGTGCACTCAGGGCAGGAGAGGTGAAGAGGCTGGACCAGGATGGGGTCACCCCAAAACCCATCTCCTTCTGCCTGGACTCTTGGGGCTGTCCTTTACACTGACCCCCAGCCAAAGAAGGTAAAAGAGGCTGAGGATTGGGTCCCTTCTGTGCTCTACCTGCAGGAAGCGGAAATAATGAAATAATCCCAATAATGCGTGTTAATGGTATGAGGAATTACAGTTCACACAGCATCTTTACATGCATCATCTCACTTAATCCCACTTAATCTCATTTGAGAATCATTGCACTGGCCTGGAAATTTAGAAGCCCAGGCTCTTGACACAGATCTGCCTCTGCCTGGACAAGTCTTTTTCCTTCTGTGGTCCTGAGAGGGCTAGGCGGCTCCCCCCCCACCACCCCACCCCCGCCGGCTGTCCCCACCCCCACCCCAGTAACTGAACTAGGGTGGAAACCTGAAGGGAGAGAGAAGAAGAAAGTTTCCTGAGGAGGAAGAGCCGCTGCCTGGCGAGTGGGGCCTGGGCCTGCATGCCTGCCACCCTGGCCAGCCAGCCAGCCTTGGGTGCAGGTGCATGCCGGGAGAGAGGCCTCACTTGCGCAATTGCAACCGAGTGTCTCCTTTCACCAAGTGTCCAGTTGCAAATCTCCCCCTGTCCCAAGACAAAGGCCGGGGGCCCACAGAGGGCTTTTGTTTTCTCTGCCACAGGCTAATCTCTGGGTCTGGAGCCCCCTGGAGATGGGGGTCTCATGCACACGTGTAGGGCAGGTGCACACACATATACACGCGTGCACACACATACACTGGCTTCCTTCTTGGAAGAGTCTTCCCTCAGGGCAGACAGGAGGTCCTTGGCCACCTAACCCTCCCTTTTCCCAGAGGCCACTTCTGGGGAAGCTGTTCTCTGGCTGATACTTCTCTGTCTCTAGCAATGGCAGTTGGCAAATCTTGGGGCCCAGCACTGCAGCTTGGGGGAATTTTCCAGGAGAGGCAGGGTAGGGGTTGGCCATCAGGGCACTCCCTTCCGCCCTCTTAGGGACCTTCAGACCTTCCACTTCCCTTCTGGGGAGCATTCTCAGAGCTCCTGCGGGAGGACCGAGCTACAGAGGAAGTAGATTTATTGCACTGGTGGGGGGGCGTCAAGAGGGGAGTGAGAGGTTGCCAGCCGGTGGGTGCCCTCGCACCGCCACAGGCACAGCCACTCACGCTCGGGAGCCTGTACCACGGTGCACTTGGGGACAAAGGGACGCTGGGGAGGAACACACGCTCACACACTAGCCAAACCTGCCTCACCGTTCCCAGATCCCTCTCCCCCGCCGTACCGGTGCCGGGCCTCTCCAGAGCCTTCCTCTGCCTGCTGGCCTTCCCTCCCCAAGAGGCCAGCTCCCCGCAAGGAGCCAGAGCGTCGGACTGCTCGAGGCTTGCAGCCTGGGGACAGGGGGACGGCCGGGCTTATCGCCATCCCACAGCCCCGGCAGCGGCTCTTCCGCGGTGTCCGGGCGGACTTTGGACCGGGGGAGGGGAGGGGCGGGCTGGGCGGCCGGCGGGCAGCCACTCGGAGCTCTCCCCTCACCGAGCCTCGGGTGGGGGTGGGGGATGACCGGGGCCTCGGGGGGCCGGGCGGGCGGCGCGCTCAAGCCTTGCTGCCCCGCGGCGGGCTCTGCGGCGAGTGCAGCTCCACCGACTGCCGCCGCCGCACTTCGCGCTCCTCCCAGTCGGCGTCGGGCTCCTGCCCCTTGAGCACCGCCAGGCGCTCCGCCAGACTCTTGGCCGGCGGGAACAGCACGTAGTTGTAGAGGAGGGAGCCCAGCACGGCGCCCACCAGGGGTCCGATCCAGAAGACCTGGGGCGAGTGGAGAAGCCGGTTGGGGATGGGGATAGTGGTTGGGGTGGGGGGGCGTCGAGCCACGACTACCTGCGCCCCTCACCCTCCAGACGCGCTCCCCCGACTTGATGTTGAAAAGGGGGTTTCCCACGTGGTTCATGAACCGGGGTGGGGGGATTGGCAGACTTAGTAATGCCAGCGGCGGCTGGTGGGGCGTCTGGTTAGTTGGGGGTTAAGAGTGCGAATTCCAAGCGGATTAACCGGGTGACCAGAGGCAATTGGCCCACCCTGTCTGTGCCTCAGTTTCCTTTCATTGTAATAATGTCTACCGCCTAGGGTGGTCGCGAAAATTAAGTGAGGTCATGTTTGCAAAGCACTCAGAAAAAGGCCTGGCCCGTACTGAGGCTAGATGAGTGCTGAATAACAAAAATGGATGTATTCGCTAGTATTAACATTACCCTTTCCGGGCTCCAGCCCACTGTGTGAGCTGTTTTACACCTCACGTAAGGCAGCGTCACTTAACTCTTCCAAAAAGCCGGTGAGGCAACCGCTGCTGTTACCTGCACTGAGGCATGTGGAAACGGAGTGTCCGGAGTGTCCGCACCAGCCGGGAGGGTGGAACCCCAGGCTCCCCAGGAGAGTGCTGAGGTTCTCTGAGCTCTGGCCCCACTCTATTCCAGCCCTCCCCGAGATGGGTGTCTGAGGGAGGGGAAGGTGGAAGGAAGGCAGGGAGTTTTCAGCCATTACCCAGTGGTCGTCAAACTTGCCGGTGACCACAGCAGGAGCCAGGGAGCGGGCAGGGTTCATGGAGCAGCCGGTGTAGTGGATCTGTAAGGGGAGGCAGGGGATACGGTGATGACAGGGCAGGGGGTCCTTGCGGCCCTCTCTAGCACTTGACCTCAACCTCAAGGGAATCCCTGGGGTTTCTATATGGGGTCTATATAAGGGTCCCTATATGTTCAGTGTTCTGTATTCATTGGAGGCTGGTGCGAGATCTGTTCCTTTGGGGTATCAGGGAGTCAAACCTTCTGGGGTGGCCACATGACTGTCCCTCTGGGGAGTTCTGTGTATCTGTCCCCTGGGGGGGGGTCTTTGTGTCTGTCACTTTTGGGGGGTATGTGTATCTATTTCTAGAGTGGTCTGTGTGTCTGCTTCTTTGGGGAAGGTCTGTACGTCTGTGCCTCCAGAAAGGCTAGAGCAGTGGCCATGACCTACCCCGAGGAGGTGGCCCAGGGCCACAGAGAAACCGATGGAGAGGGCGGGGGTGCCCAGGTTGTCTCCCCGCCGCTCGTCTGTGGAGGCGAAGATGCAGAGCACCAGCTGCAGGGTCAGAAAGAGCTCCACCGTGACAGCCTGGCCCGCTGTTGTGTTGTTGCTGAGCTGGCAAAAGAGATGGGGTGGGTGGGGGCATGCTGAGCAGGCTCCCCACTCTGGCTGTGTCTTCAGGCCCATCTGCAGCCAAGGCTCCAGGGAGGCCTCTGGGCTGGAACTGGAACACCTGGGCTCCCCAGCCCCATTAGCTCAAATGAATGATGGCTTCTTCCTGGGCTGTGGCCCAAAGGTAGGGGAATGGACCCCACGACTGCAGGTGATCCCCAGGCCAGAGGTAGGAAAACGAACCCATAGCCTGTTAGATTTTGGGGGACTGTGACTGTGTGCCCAAGGTGAGAGGAAAAGGATGCTGAGGTCCACAATTTGTTTCCTGAACAATGAGAAGGGAAGAGGTCTTGACTGCAGCAAGAAGATTTCGGGCAGGTAACAGAAAGGCCTTCTTTGCCCTCTAGGGCTTAAGATCTACTGAGGTAATGAGAGGCCTGTAGTCTTTCCTCCTGTGGGCAAAGGGCCCCCAGGGGGGTCTTGGGACTTGGGCCTGGGGACCGTCCTGGTGCATTCCCTTACCCCATCAGCCCAGTGTACCACTCTTTCCTTTCACCTTTGCCTGACCCCCCCCCCCCCCAGATCTTGCCTGTTCCACACTGTGTTTCAGGCCTGAGTTTTGCCCTGTGGCTTTGTTCCCTGCATATCCTATGAAGGGTGGGGGCGCTGGTGCCCTGTACTATGGTGTGGAGGGGCCTGTGGACCAGGTGGGGTGCCCATGGTCCTGGCAGACCCCGCCTTGGGTAATGAGAGAACTTGGGGCCGAGCAAAGAGGCTATTTCATAACCGGGCCGCACCCAGCACTGGATTTCTCCCTGGGTTTTGTCATCCTGTGTCCTACACCCTGCCCTCAAGCACTGGGCACTGCACCGGTTGGCACTAGGACAGCTCTCAGCTCCCACGCTTTTTCTCCAGGCCCTGAACCCCCACTCTTGGGTCCTAGCCATCAGGCTGGCACCCTTGGGTCTCTAGGGTCTAACCTCATGCCCCCCACTCCCCTAGTCCAATGTTGGAACCTCTAGTGGGGGGTCGTGAAAGGAGCTTTGAAAGCATACTTTGGAGGCATGTAACCTGCCATGGGACCCTATTTACTACTTCAGCCTCGGTTTGTCCTTCCGTAAAATGGAGATAACAAAACAGATTCCGGAGGGCTGTGTGAGGACTAGAAATGATAAGAGCAGAGCCCCAGCCCCATCCCCACTGGTAAATGGCTTTTCTAAGGGAGAGGTGTGGACGTAGACTTAGTGTCGGACAGCCCTGCCTCCACTTCTAGGTGCTGACACCGGCCGGTTCTGTGATTGGAGACCACTGAATGCTGAGTCTCCATTTACCAATCAGGGTAGAGGGATCACAGAATTCATCTTACAGTGTTGTACCGAGAAGTAGGTGGTACATGGCCCAGCAAAGAGCAGGGGCATGTCAGTGGTAACTTTCTGGTGGCTAGGCCAGCCTTTCCAGTGACCTCAGAGATGCCTGGAACAGTCTTGGGGTTCTTGGTTCTTCCAACAGTCTTGGGGATGAGTCTGGAACAGTCTCATCTAGCTTTCTAGCCTCTAGACAGCTCAGCCCCACTGCTGCCCCATTCCAGCCAGGCAGGGTTCTCCCTAGTTCCTCAAGATGGTAAATGCTGAGCAGGTAAATGCTGAGACCCTCCCCAGACCCTTCCCTTCTGAGGGCCCCAGTTGACTGTCAGATGATGGGGGAGCAGGAGTGAGTGTCTCCACGGTTCCTTAGCATTTCCACTGCTCTGCTGTTAGAGGAGATTCTCCAGCCACTCATTCTGAGACTTTCTGGGCCATACATACTCTCAGGAAGTTCCTCTGGCAGTTTAACTGGCCCTCTCCTTGCTGGGAACAGAACTCTTTTCATTCTCACTGGGGTCACACTCCTCAGTCTGTCTCCCACCATGGCCACTCTAGCCTTTTCTCATCCCTGAGCCCCCAGCCTCCTCATATTTTCCATTTTGAAGAAGAAAAAAGTTCCTCAATTGGGACACCTCTGCCCCTTGCATGAGGAAGGGCCATCTGTGCAAAGGAGGGGGCGGCCCAGAAACCGTGTAGGGCTCCTCAGAGACATCGGAGCTTTTATCCAGCGGCCCGGGGAAAGGCAGGGCATTGAGGCATGGACGGGGTGCTTGTGGCCCTGGCTTAGGAAGGGGGATGGAGGGAGAGGTGTACTGAGGGGACACAGACTCTGCCGCCCCACTCATGGCCTCAGAGGCCGGAGAGCTGCACAGACCCAGGAAAGAGGGTAGGAGAGGCGAGAACGAGGAAAGGGAGGGATTGCGGCATCCTCCCCAGCTCTCAAAATGCCTAAGGTGTCCAATTAGCCATCGTTCATGTAATCAGCAGTTAGTCACGGGCTCTGGGGACCCTCTCCAGGGTCTGGAGAGAACTTGCCTCTTCAGCTTTGCCTTGAGTTCTGGTGCTTTCTCTGGTATTGACAAACTATAGAACCCTTGGTCCATCCCTCCCCTTCTCTGAGCCTCAGTTTCCTTGTTTGCTAAACAAGTCTTAGGTGATGGCTCAGAGAGGGTACAAGGGTCAGGTGGAAAGATCATGAGTCTTGCTGTCCAGCCTGGGTTTGAAGGCCGGCTTCTGGCACCTTAAGCAATGGATATACCCATCCCCGCCTCAAAGCTCAGTTGTGAGGTGTCCAAGTGTGGCTTGTGAGGAGCCTGCTGTGAGGCTCACACACGGATGCTGAAGAAACACTGGATCCTTCTTTCCTCGAGAAGACCCTTGGGACTAGCGCTCTGAGGTTCCTCCCAGTTCAGAAAGCACACTGCTTTGGGACTGTGTCTTCGGCTGAGATCTGGCCCAGCCCTCACTGTGATTTGGGCATCAAGTCTGCAACAACCTTGATGCTGCTCTTCCTCCGTGAGGCTCAGGGCAGAAGGTGCCAGAAGACCCGCCTGGATCCTGCCTCTGCTCTGACCTCAACGCTCCTTCTACCCTGGCTCCTTTATGTCCTTTATGGTACCTGTGCTCCTGGCTCCAATATCTCTCCCTCTCTCCCCCTCCCCCCTCCCCACCTTTCTCTCTCCTCACCCAGACCCTCACCCAGATCTGGTCCCTCCCATCTCACCCTTTCCAAGGGACTCCCCAGGACCTGCCCGTTGTGGAAAGGACAATGTTCTGGTTACTCACTGCGTTAATAGCCAGGTCCCCTCGAATGTCGGGTGGCGTGATCTCATGGAGCAGAGCGGCCCCTGCCACAGCCCCCAGTAGCTGGGCAGCTACGTAGAAGGCAGCTCGGAGAAAGGAGACGTGGCAGCCCACCAGGCAGGCCACAGTCACGGCAGGGTTGATGTGAGCCCCACTGATGTGGCCCAAAGCTTGGACCAGGGTCCCGATACCCAGGCCGAAGGCCATGGCAATCTGCAGCACGGAGGGCAGGGCCTGTGGCCAGTTGAGGGCCGAACCGAGGCCGAAGAAGACGAAGAGGAGCGTGGCCAGGAACTCTGCAAACACGGCCCTGGAGAAGGCTATGGACCGGAGCTCCCACATGCTGTGGGCTGGCCCTGCAGTTGTGGCAGAAGGAGGTTTGTGGAGCACGGTCTCTCTCGCTCTCTGTCTCTGTCTCTCTCTCAGGGTCTCTGGGGAGGCTGGGCCAGGGGCCTATATAGGCTTCTTCCATCCTGGATTGGGACACGTGAGGTAGAGGTGGAGTCTGGGCCCTTACCTTGTCTCTCCTACGGCTGCCCCTACCCCCCACTCCTGCCCACCCGCATGCCTATCACCCCATCTTGCCTTCACAGCTGACTAATGTTCCCCATTAATGAGCTCCAGATAAGGACTGACGTCCCCTGGTTTTCCGTGTTTGTGCCCCGGTTCCCCCAGGGCTGAGGCCCCAGGGCTTCCCCTACCCCCACTGATTCTGTGACTGGGGATTCTCTGAGGGGGTGATGCCAAACCCCCTCCCTCTGACTCCAACTATTAGTCAAGGCAGGGACAGCCCCTCACCCAAGATGGACTGTGACAGAGGATGTCCATGCTACCCCTTCTGGTGATTGGGAAGTTCTTCCTGTTGTTGACCTTCAATTAGTCCTTCTTGAAGGGGATGGAAAACAACTGGTTGGCTTGTGACGTGAACCTTCCAAGGCATCAAGGTTTCATCTCTTCTGGGCTCGCTTTCTTGTAGTCAATTACCCAGAAGTTATTAGACTTCACCTCCTCCCTGGAACCCCAGCCAAGACGCAGCTCCCATAGCCTGGAGGGAGGGGATGGCCTCGGTGGCAGGGGGACCCTGGCCCCCGGGTGTGAGATCAACCTGTGCTTGCCTGAGGAAGCTTAAACAGAGGGTAATGCACTTACATGGGGTCGGGTTTGGATGAAATGAAATGATATAAAACGCTCAGAGCTGCACCTGGCCCACAGTCAGCCATCAATGAATATCAGCTATTATTATTCATGTTATTTATTTATATTCTGAATACTCAGAGGAGGAGAAAAGTTCTCCCGAAACTCACATGGGAAGGTCCCAGGAGATGTGACAGGCTGTAGGCATCCCCAGGAGCTCAGGGGGAGGACATTTCTGTGAGGCAGTGAGCTGTGCAGACTCAGGGAAGCCGTAATGATCCAGAAGCGACTCTGGGGCCCTGCTGTCCCTTCAGCCCAGCCTCTGGGCAGTACCAACTCCCACCATCAGTGCTGCCCTGGGCTGGGATCCAGGAGACACTTGGGTCTGGGATTCCCTGGGCCCCACTCCCCTTGCTCTCCCATCATCCCTCTGGCCCTGGGGCCAAACGCAGGGTGAGGCTCAACGGGCAGCTACGGGGACTGGTTCCAGACCTGCTCTACCCAGCAGGACCCCAGGCAAGTCCCAGTTCTAGGAACAGAGTCTGGGAGGGATCAGAGACTGCAGAGTATGGACCATCCATACTCTTTATGGTCTTGACAGACAGAGAGAGGGAGTGGCCTGCTGACCCCGATTCTGGGCAGGATCTGCCCTCACCTCATCAAGTGAAAATCCCTTACCTCCCTGTAAACCCAGAAGAATTGTCACAGTTTCTCTCTGAAGCCCATTAATTCCCAACTCAAATGTGTGTGTGTGTCTGTGTGTGTGTGTGTGTGTGTGTGTGGTCGGTCATTCAGTCACAGTCATAAATCTAGAACCCAGTGGAATTTTAGAGGTCATCTAGCCTATGGATCTCACTTTACAGATAAGAACCTGAAGTCCCTAGAGATTAAGACTTACTCACGTTCTGGTCTGGGCTCAGGACTGGGAGGAGGGGAGGCCACCAACCATGACTGGGTCCTACTTGGGCTGTGCTTTCCTTTTGAGCCAGGGAGGAAGAAGATATACTTGTCAAAGCCAGGGGGTTCAAGCTGTGGGTCCTGGTGGGCAGCAGGTCTCCTCGGGGGGAGGACTGCATTTTGTCCACAGTGACCACGACACCATGTCTTGTGAGGTTGGAGGTGCCATCAAGGGTAGGAGGCACCCCTAATTAGAATTGCAAAAATGTTTTCTTGGCGATAGATTGTTGTAATAGATGTACAAAAACGTGTATGTATCTCACCCCACTTCGCTGTGCAGTCACAAATGGTTAGAATGGTTTTATGTTATATGTATTTTGCCATAATAAAAAATAATTTTAAAAACCCATGAAGGAAAATGACCCCCCAAAATGCTTTCTTCCCAATTTTGGTTTGTTTCTAATAAAAGAAGTCTTTCAGATTGATTCAGATATCAGAGTTTTTAAAGTCAAAATCACTCCCGTGCAATTATCGAAAAGGAAATGATCAGTAAAACAAAGTGGTGAAGATCATCCCCAAACGTATTCACATTCAGAGTCTACCCTTCTGAAATTTCTTTCTGATTCAGAGTGCTCAGGGTTTTCCTACACGTCATCACCCTCTGTGCCATCAGGAGTATAGTGGGGCACTGTTTCCTACAAGAGTGTCCATGATTGGGTCCAGAATTTCCTTCTAAGCTTCAGACATGGCTTCCATAAGCTTTGCCGTGTGTGTTTTCTTGCTTTACACATGCCTGGCAATCATGTGGCCCTGGTCTCAGTAATCAGACATAACACTGTTTATCTATCTTGGGGACTCTTCCTTTCCTAGGTCCCGTAAGACACCTGGCTGTCGTTTCTCGGGAAAATATGGGTATGTGTGTCATCTACTGGTGGCCTGAAGGAGGGGCTGAGACCCTTGAAAAATGGAGGTGGGAAGAGGGTGTGTGCCGGGAGCTGGGCCAGCAAGGATGTCCCATGGGAGGGACAGGGACAGAATTCAGGACTGGTGCCGTCTGACAGATGACATAAGGTGTGTTTCCTGCTCTGAGCTGAGCTGCAAATGCCCTCCATTCTCCTCACAAGGTCAGTAAAAGTGGGTCACACACCACAGCCTGTGAGGCTGGGACTTCAGGGACTGAAGGAAAAGGGACAGGGCCGATCCATGGTCAGGTGAAGTGGGACAGAGCAATGAGAGCAGCTCCAGGCAGTGGTGGCAGGAGGGGTGGGAGCCTGGGGCTCAGCCCCTCAGGGGGCCTGAGAAATATTGTAGGTATCAAGTCTATGCAGTTTGGGGACAAAGTGTGAGCCATCAGATTTCTATGTAGGGTTACAGATAAAATACACAAAGCCTGAGTTTGTTTGAATTTCAGATAAATAATGAATACATTTTTTAAGGATTTTATTTATTTATTTGACAGAGAGAGATCACAAGTGGGCAGAGAGAGAGAGGAGGAAACAGGCTCCCCCCTGAGCAGAGATCCCGACGCGGGGCTCAATCCCAGGACTCTGGGATCATGACCTGAGCCGAAGGCAGAGGCTTTAACCCATTGAGCCACCCAGTTACCCCAATAATGAATACATTTTTAGCATATATACTTCCAATCAATATTTAGGACATGTTCATACTGAAAAGTTATCTGTTATCTGTAATTGAAATCTAACTGGTGTCATGTATTTTTATTTGTTAAGTCTGGCAACTCTATTCTATCTGAAAGCAAAGGGAGAACCCAGAGAATTGAAGGCTTGGGGACATCTGGGTTTCAGACTAAGTCCTTACAAGAACTTTTGGGGTTGAGTCTCACGAGCTCCATTTTATATAGGAGGAAACTGAGGCACAGAGAGGTTGTAAAAGTTGCCTGAGATCACCAGGTTGTTTAAGTGGAGGAAACGAGCTCCACTGGATACAGGTCTGTCTGATGCAGAAGCCGGGCTTAAAGAAATGTTGAAAAAGAAAACCAAAGCTGGAGGCATAACAATTCTGGACTTCAAGCTCTATTACAAAGCTGTCATCATCAAGACAGTATGGTACTGGCACAAAAACAGACACATAGATCAATGGAACAGAATAGAGAACACAGAAGTGGACCCTCAACTCTAGGGTCAACTAATCTTTGACAAAGCAGGGAAGTATATCCAATGGAAAAAGTCTCTTCAACAAATGACGTTGGGAAAATTGGACAGCCACATGCAGAAGGATGAAACGACCATTTCCTTACACCACACTTGGCCACAGCAACTTCTTGCTCGACATGTCTCCAAAGGCAAGAGAAACAAAGGCAAAAATGAACTATTGGGACTTCATCAAGACAAAAAGCTTTTGGGCACCTGAGTGGCTCAGTTGGCTGAGTGACTGCCTTTGGCTCAGGTCATGGATCCAGAGTCCTGGGATGGAGTCCAGCATTGGGCTCCCAGCTCAGCAGGGAGTCTGCTTCTTCCTCTGACTCTCTCCCCTCTCATGCTCTCTCTCACTCCTGCTCTCTCTCAAATAAATAAATAAATAAATAAAATCATTTTTAAAAAAAGGTAAAAATCTTTTGCAGAGCAAATGAAAGAGTTGACAAAACCAAAAGACAACCAATAGAATGGGAGAAGACATTTGCGAATGTCTTACCAGATAAAAGGCTAGTATCCAAAATCTATAAAGAACTTATCAAACTCAACACCCAAAGAACAAGTATCCAATCAAAAAACAGGCAGAACGGGGCGCCTGGGTGACTCAGTGGGTTAAAGCCTCTGCCTTTGGTTCAGGTCATGATCCCAGGGTCCTGGGATTGAGCCCCACATTGGGCTCTCTGCTCAGCAGGGAGCCTGCTTTCTCCTCTCTCTCTCTGCCTGCTTGTGATCTCTGTCTGTCAAATAAATAAATAAAATCTTTAAAAAAAATGGGCAGAAGACATGAACAGACATTTCTCTAAAGAAGACACCCAAATGGCCAAAAGACACATGAAAAAATGCTCCACATCACTCGGCATCAGGGAAATACAAATCAAAACCACAATGAGATGCCACCTCACACCAGTCAGAATGGCTAAAATTAACAAGTCAGGAAACAATAAATATTGGCAAGGATGGGGAAAAAGGGGAACCTTCTTACACTGTTGGTGGGAATGCAAGGTGGTACAGCCACTCTGGAAAACAGCATGGAGGTTCCTCAAAAAGTTGAAAATAGAGCTACCCTATGACCCTGCAACTGCACTGTTAGGGATTTATCCTAAAGATACAAATGTAGTGATTCAAAGGGGCATCTGCTCCCCAATGTTTATAGCAGCAATGTCCGTATAGCCAAACTATGGAAAAGGCCCAGATGTCCATTGATGGATGAATAAATAAAGAAGATACTACTC